TGATGCCCAATGTATATGACGTCAACACCAATGCCGACCTCCCACATACACAAGGTACGTACTGTCGACTACCCTCATCATCCCCTGTCCCCCACACCTCACGCGCCTCCTACCCGAAGACCACCTATGCCTCCACCAGCCCTTGCGCCCTGCAGCCCGGCTATGGCCGCCAGCGCCCCTCACCACGCAGCGCCTGCACGCACCCCATCCAGCATCAGCGCAAGCATACATTAAAGCCACCGCAGCACCGTGTCCGCATTACCTGCCTAGTCCAGAATGCCTTGGCCTGCCTGGCCTCCTCCCCATATGGGAGAGGTTGCTGCTGCTGGACTCTCTGGGCCTGGACGGAAAAGTTTCCAGTAGCTTCCGGTCGGGCCCCAGTGTCTGCGTCCAGGCCCATATCTACAGTTGAGGGCCTGCGCCCTTTACAGTTGGGCACACCCAGCATTATCCAGGCTCTGAATGCCAGCTGTGTTTGCATTGGCCGCGGCTGGTTGTGACGACAACGCCGCCTTCTCATTGGCCCATGTCCACTTCGTGATGTGTCGGCCTCACGCTGCATGTGCCCAGCGCGCAAATACCAGCGTCCTGGGATCAACTGCCCGACGCAGCTGCTTCTTGTTGAAGAGCCCAGGGTGGGGCCCAGGTTGCACTTCAACCAACTGGCATGCAGCAACTGTCTGAGACCCGCATTGAAAAATGCTGAGATAAGGGCCTCTCGTGGATAATATTCAGGCCCGCCTTCACCTAGGGCGGGTACAAGGCTTGCTCGGGCCCACCGTCCAGGACATATGCATGTTGTCTAGGGCCCCCTGAGGGCACATTCCTCACAATCGTTTTTTTCGGCTCTTTTGGATTTTATAATTTTTATATTTTATTCCCCCCAGGAGTCTTCAATGACCCTTGCCTGCCCGGGACGGCCAGGCAGGCAAGTAACTTGACACCGGCAGCCCGGTTGGTAGCCGACAGTTTGCCAAGCTATTCAATATACTGGGGCGAGAGGTCAGTTTAAACTTTAAACCACCAGTGCTTGGGCCCGCTTGAAAATAAACTCCGTGCCGGGTAATGCAGAAGCCAAGCGGGATCGGGCCACCGTTGATAAATTTCGGCCCGTTTTCCATTTCCGGCCTTTTTTTTCTGCCCGCGGCCAGCGTACGGGCCGCCAAGTACTGGTGGTTTAAGCCACCAAACCTGTCCACAAAACCTCTTTCAAAGCCTGTCTTGTGCAGGTTATAGCTTGCCCGACACCGGAGCTGATGAAACTCGGGTGTCGGCAAGCCCCATACTTACTCCTGCTGCATTCCTTGATTCGACAGAGGGCACTCACAAAAGAGTTGCAATCAATTTTTTTCACTTTTTTTGTCACATTCGAGCTGCTGCAGCCTCGGCTGTCAGCAAAAAACACAGCATTTGTGTCTCAGAAGGCACTTACCAATAATGCACTCCGCCATTCGACCGGGCCCCCACTGGCTATTAAGTAATTTTTTTTTTTTTTTTTTTTTTTTTTTTTTTTTTTTTTTTAAAACAGAAGTAGAAGGCCGCTCCCAACTTGGAAGTGACCCTCGCCATCCTCACAGCAGCACAATCCAGAGACACCAACAAGGACACCTGGCGGTTCATCATACAAGCTGTTGGACTAGCAAAGGACAAAAAAAAAAAAAAAAAACAGTACAGTGCCAATGAGCCTATCTCAGTTTGTGCACCAATGAACTGTGTGTTGAAATACAGATTTCTTTTCGAACCCACATGGAACACGATGAACGAAATTAATTTAATTATGTGATTCTGAATTGCACTGCTTGGCTGGTCAGTTCTACGATGACATCTCACATCCCTTGCCCTTTTGGGGGGGGGAAAAAAGAATAAAAAAGCAGAGTATGAGTGGGATCCAGATCAGATGGTCGACAAGATAATGTCAGGGTATCAGCAGCTCGCATCACTGAAATCGTCAACGGTGAAAAGACTGGTCTGTTGGTGATAATATCTGTAACTCCTTGTAAGGTAAGAAGAAGGGTTTCATGGGACACGGTCGAGTGGGACCCTCATTGTTGCCATACTTCTCTTTTTTCAGGCTTTCCATCCCAAACCGCTCTTTTCTTTTTCAGATTTTTTTATCCCAATATTAATTTTTCTGGTCTTCGAAAGGCACGACTTTGGGAACACACGAGACACGAGAGTGCCTGACAGAGAGTGAGAGGGTGAGAGACAAACAGAGAATATCAGTGTGCCTCATCCTACGACTATTTCTACCTTTTTCTTTGGTCAGACTGAGTTACAATGCGTGTACGTGTGTGTGCATGTTGTGTGGGTGCAGGCGAGCACGCTCAACGAACGTGTTGTGCAAGTGCATGCATGCACGCACACACCGACACACACACACACACACACACACACACACACAATCAGAGTCTCATACCAGCAACCCATCCTCCTCCTCCTCCTCCTCCCCCTTCTCCTGCTCCTCTGCTCTAGCTCCCTGCCCTCCTCCTCCTCCCCTTCCTGCATGCATGTGTGTTTGAGCACACGAACACACATGAACATGCACATCGACGCGCGCAGGCGCACATGGACACCCTGCACATGCGATCTGGGCTCCTCCTCCTCGCCATTTTTTTCCTTCCATCCTTTCTCTCTGCCTCCCTCTCTCCTCCTCCCGTGTCCACATACGTTTGGACGCATGGATGCCTCCCTGTCCTCCTCCCTCTTCCCCTCCCTGTCCTCTTCCTCCCCCTTCCCCTCCCTGTCTTCCTCCTTCCCAATCGCCTCTGTCCTCCTCCTTCCCTTTCGCCTCCCTTTCTTCCTTCTCCTCCCACTCCACTTCCTTCTCCTTTCTCCTCCTTGCCCTCTTCCTTCTCCTCCCCCTCCTCCTCTCCCCCCCTTCCTCCACATGCTCCATCTTTTCTATTTGTCAGTTTGTGTGTGTGCGCGCTAGTGGCTGTACTCTGTACAGCCCTGGCGTCACCAAGATCCTGATTGATCAAACAACACGCAGCCATGGCAATGAATCGAGTCAAAAAAAACACCGGGAGAGAACAGGGTGCTTGAGGGAGGGGAAGATACACAGCGTAGTCACAGCAGTGATGATAAGACTACTTACAAAGGTGCTCATGACGGTATGCGACCATACGGTCGACTGTCTCTGCTTGACCTGTAGTGGAAGAGAGCAACAAACACTGGACAGAATGTAGAGCGGCCCTCGTGCTCCTCCAACCAACCCCCGCCCCCCCCCCCCCTTCCCCCCCCCTCCCTCAAGGACTTGATCAACTGGGCAAAACCTTTCCTTAAGCGATCAGTGCAACAGAGTTTTCCGAATGCGAGCACCCAACCGTATTATCTACTCCTTTCTCAGCACACTACAACATTCACAGTGCATCGATTCCACTGTACATTATACCTCATTTCACTGAATGATCAAGTAAGAGGAGATCCAACCTCATTTCACAATGTGATTCTGCAGACAACAAAAGCCCGAAGAAACATTCGTCGTAGGGATGATCTGATAGAAAGATAATCAGTCACCAAATGGATACCATTTGGAACCCACAACATCTCTCTCTCTCTCTCTCTCTCTCTCTCTCTCTCTCTCTCTCTTTCTCTCTCTCTCTCTCCTTTTCTCGCTCTCTCTCTCTCTCCCCGTGGGTGTGTGTTTGTCTCATGTTTTGTCCACCCCCTTGCTGTGAGCAGTTGGGCGCTATTGCATGATAATCGGGTGGCTCAGATCTTTCTGGTGAGGAAAAAAAAGTGAAAAAAGGAAAGCGACCAAGGAAAGCAAGGAAAGCATTAAAAAAAGCAAAAAAAAAGAAAAGAAAAAAGTTCAAAAGAAAGTAGGGAAAGCATGGAAAGCACGGAGAGGACAGAAAACAAGGAAAGACGACAGAGAAAGAATGACCTTAGCCCAGTTGGTACACCTATGAACTGTTGAAATACTTACGGACCCAAGCTCGAATCCAAATGCAATGAGATGAGCAGCATTAAATCATTTCTGAATTCCATAAGGCCAGTCCGTTCATTGATGATAACTCAAAGGTCATCACCCTTTTAAAACAAAAGGAAAGAAAGGAAAGGCAGGGAAAGAAAAGTTGCAATTAAAAGAATGCGCTTAATTGAGAGAACGCATTGCTGCTCGGCAACCGTTCAATTGCCAACTGCAGCATTTTTTTATTTTTTTATTTTTCTGGACTATTTGTCGATTTATGTGTGTCGTCCTTGCCCAGGGGCCATACTAATTTTCTCGGTATCCTTCCGAATTTAAACGGATATCCTGAAGGACAACTGCAGCATTTTTTTTTTATTTTTTTTTTAATTTTAACAGGTCCTTATGGTCCTGGCTCCTTTCCATTCTGGGGAGCGTCAGTCCGGTTCCTATTCCCCCGGCAAGTCAAAAGGAATTACATATAGTACACGAGCAACCTATTTCTCTGAATCAGATCGCCAAACAACCTCGGCTTGCATGTCTGTCGTCAACACAACAACATGCCTTGGATGACAGCATAACAAGAAATTCACGACCGGGACTGGCCTGGCATATAATAACTCAAGACACAAAAAGAAAAGATCTTTCGTCAACAAAACGCAGACTTTAAATTTCCAGCTGGCACTCAAAACCCAACGGCTATAAGTTTCTATCGAAAGACAAATAAAATGCGAAGTAACAAAAATGTTCCTCTAAAATCTCTCTCTCTCTCTCTCTCTCTCTCTCTC